ATCAGGCTTGTGATTGGAGGAAGTCTGCTTGGGAGACAAGCTATTTCACTCGTGATTGGAGGCTAGTAATAGAAGGAAGCCTCTCTGCAGAAACAAAGTATGGGCAGTTTTGCAACCATGCGGTTCTCTCCTTGGCTTAGTTCCTTGAATAAGACGCCCTTCAGTTTTTAGGGTAAGGATTTTAGAAAAAAGTATCGTCTTATAGTTGGAAAAATACGGTAAGTTCCCAGAGTTGCTGTTAGTTTTCCTTTGATAAAAAACTTGATGAAACATCTGCAATGGAAAGCACTGGGTCAAAGAAAGAAACTTCAGGAGGGTTTTAAGTAGGGATACTAAATCGAAAACCTACAAACATTTGCTTAATGTTGGCTGCGTTGGTTAGCAAAAATTGCCAATATGCTATTACAGTATTTCACCTTTGCATCTGGCAAGAGTCTTAAATAAAAGAGGAATCAGGTTTGCAGCCAAGAAGTTTCCCCTCATAGCAATTGCTCACATTTCTGTACACTACTTGTCCAGATAAAAGCACACAACATGGACCAAAAACAGGAATTGGGCGCAATAGCTATATATTCCTTTGTGTTCAATAAGAGTTATTTTTGTTCTAGAACTATTGGTTGATCAAGGCAGGATACTGATTGAATGACAGTATTTATATTCTCCTGCTGATCAGCTGGAAGGAGCATTGACTGGTTGATGGTCATCTTAGCATTTTGGTGTTAGTAGGAGATCAAGAGACTTAAAATTATTTCTGATGGTGGTTCTGTGGAAATGACTAGACTTTCCCACTATGAGCTACAAAATGTATCTTTTTGATTCAGGGTTTTCCAATTTTGGTGGCCCAGCGAGCATATTTGGAATTTTGATAGTATACTAACTAGGCTATGGATGCCATGGGGGTCTTGTCCCCCTCGTAAAAGGGCTGCCATGGTATGGCCACTAGATGGCAACAAACAGGTATAGAAAACACCAGCTTTCTGGTTCCATCTAGTGCTATTCAGAGTTTTCCAGTCCAGACCTTGTAGACTTACTTTTTGTTCTATGTAGCCTGGTCAGAATCTCAGTTGTTCCCTGTAGAGAATTTCCCTCTCCTATCATTTTTCCTGAAGGAATCTTGTTATCTTGAAGAGCAACACTGCATAAAGCTTCAGGTGGGATTTGGTTTGCAAATTAGAGTTTAGGTCAGAGATCCTACTTTACATAGAATAAGCAGCTCTAGTTGCTGCATGTATGTGACTAAGTCTGATGACCTAATCTTCTGCAGTTGCTTTAAGAGTTATGGGAAAGGCTCGCTTGACAAAAGCCATAGGGTAGGGAAGTGACATTGACAGGCCCCTCTGATCAAACTAGTCTGTCTTGTTTTCTTCTTCTGTTTCTAACTCCTTTTTTGGCACTCTGCATAATGTTACATGCCACAAAGCATGTGGGTATGTATATATGAATCAATGAATTGTGAGGAATATATTGTACTGAAATCCAAAGC